ACTTTATTAAAATTCAATTGAAGTTTTTACAAAGAAAAGCTTGCTTTTAAATTACATATAAAGAATAAAGACTCAAATATATAATCTGTGATCTAAACCTACATATAATTTTTATTTTGTAGTTTACAATCTTAATATATCTTAGTATATAATATATTAATATGTACAACTAAAATTACTAATAAAGATATAAGTAAAGTCTCACCTTAACACTAAAAAAAAAATATTTAAGTTTTAAACTATACAACTTTCTTTATATATCATTTTTTATTTTTATTTTAACTGGCTTAGTTTTTATTGACTTTATTTTTACTATTTATAATACTTCTATTCCTTATTATATAACTATTTCTTTTTCTATTACATTTCTTTTTTATTTAAACTAATGCATATATAAACAAATATGAATCTTATATTATATTTTACATTTAATATAGTCTTTAATTACATGTTTTACAAATTCAACTCATAATTTTCTTTCTAGTTTATCATTACCTCTTATCTTAATATTACAAATTATTATTATTTTTTTTAAATATTAAGATGAGTACTTGTAACTTAGGATTTTATTAATAGTATATTTGGCTAATGGTTGTATTATAACTACAAAGAACAACTATGAAAAGAATATATAATTAGTTATTTATATAACTTTAGTTATTGCTTAATTTAAGTAGTCTGTCTAAAGATTTTATATTAGTTGTTATATCTGAAACCTACTTGTAGATTCTCTATTTAAATACTTTAGTTTTTGTATTTATCTACCTATTTTTGCTTATTAATAATCTTAACCAATATTAATAAAAATATATTATGACTATTAAGTCTTTAAAGAAGTTTTTTGAAATCTTTAATCTTGTACTAAACTTTTTAGAATCTTCTGTATTTTATTCTTAAAGCTGACCTAATATTGCTATTATTAAGACCAATACTGATGATCAGAATATATTATTAAACTGCTATGTCTTTATAGAGTTCATCCTAACTCTAGTACTGATTTTACAACATATCCTTACTACTTTGGTATTTAATTCAAGTTTCACCAAACTGCTATTCTAGATAGACTGAAAAGATAGGTTAAAATCATATATCTTTGGTTTACATATTTGCTAACATGTACACTTTTTCTTTAAATCTAGAAATTTTAATAGTCTGATTAGTTTATATAATCTCTTCTTAAAGACTAACATATTTGTTCAGTTTCACAAGTTTTAGTTTCATTTCATAAGTCTAGTCTTTACAATAGTATATTGAAAATTCAAATTACTTTTTTATTTGAGTCTTCCAAGTAGGCTTCTGTTTTCCTATCTGGTTTCTATGATTTATATAATCTAAGAACTTATCTTGGGTTTACACTATCTAGTATTAGTTTGTATTTCTTTATACAATATTGTATAAGTGTCTAGACCTTCTAGTCATATTAGTATGATATAGATTATAGGTATCTTATTCCAACTAATTACAAAAGATAATTAACTATAATACAGAAAGAATTGCAAATTTTCATTATCACTAAGATTTAAACTCTAGACTTGCCACTTGGAAGTTAACAATCTATTCACTTTACTAGGTTATTACATTTTAATATCACAAATTATTACTAAAATTGGTCTTAAAATTATTCAATGAATTAAATATTATACTTCTTTTTTATATATTATTACTAATACTCAAATTTAAGTAAACCTTGACCACTTTTGTAAATTTAGATTACAGATTATATGTTTGAATCTTTATTCTTTATATGTAATTTAAAAGCAAACTTTTTTTTGTAAAAACTTTAATTGAATTTCAATAAAGTTAAAGTCATAACCTTACTATTAATATTTTTTTTAAAAAAAAAAGTAATCTAATTGGTTTTTATACAACCAAGTAATATTATTTAAAGTAAAAATTAGCAAAAATTATTTTCAAAACTAATTTCACTTTAGCCGACTTTTTTTTGGAATGAACAAATTAATTCCGGCCAAAATTATGCATAACGATAATGCGAGCCAGAATTTGTTAATTACCGCCGTTGGCCAATCAAAATTGAGGATCGTCCACGCATTCAATAAAGAATACGTAAATCTCCTATTAGCCAATCAGATTATGTAACGTTACACGTATCGAATTCTGTGTCGGGCTGATCCGGGATTTCCTTTTTATAATATATTTTATTGAATTAACTTTTAGGGTTAAGGCCATCTTTTATTAGGGTTAGGTTAGGTTAGGTTAGGTTAGGTTATAATAAGTAAAATTGCCTTCCCAAATTAACCATCCGAAGTAGGTACTTTTTAAACTTCTATAATTTTGATTGGCTTGACTTCACGTGATTACGCACCGCTTTAGACGACCCCTTTTTAGTAGCTTATTTCGATTATTCTAAAAGTCGGTTTATTTGGTCACCCATTTATTAACGTTAGATTTGTCAAGAGGTGACCCGATAGCATCTGCTGTTATAATGAACCAGCTTATCAAAATTATATTCGGGATTAATCTAGGTTACAAGACCTGGAACAGATTTCTTGCAAAGGTTTTAACCCTTTAAAAACTCTCATGGTCGTTGAGTGTAGGTTACTTAGCACTAGCCATATCTTTCGTTTAATTAATGTACGTACTGTATTAAAGTATGACGTGATTAAATACATCTCAAACATCTAACCATAAAAAAAATCGCATTATCATTGTTACTGTTACTATTATTATACGTATAAGAGCTCAATTATCGATGATAATCCTTTTTTTTTTCTTAGATTTTTTTTCACTACTAAATAACTTAACCAATGATAGCTGAGATGATTTTTTTTACCTCAACTATAATTAGTTTTACTGTTAATGATCGGACGCTCAATAGACCACAAAAAAAGTTCGCATAATAATCTTCATAATACGTGATTCTATATATATGTCAGACAAATGAAATTAGAGTGCTTTCATGTATTGTCCAATAATGATGACTTCATTATTAAGTTTTAAAGAACGTGACTATGTTCCAGAAAGGGTAATAATTATTCTTTAAGGAGAAATTGGCCACGAAATTGCAACAATATCACAAAAACTATATATATGCATATCATAACGGTTTAATTTAATCCTATTTCAGATGCTTAATTGCTGACGCGATTTCTTTTTCCCTCCCCCTAAAAATTAAAATTTCTCGCAATTCTCGCAAGCTTGTTACTATGTCGGAAATTAAGGAAGAACTGACAAGAATGAATAGTGACATTAGCGATTTCGCGGGAACATTGACACCACCACCACTTGATAAAGTAAGAAAACGCGTCATTCAAAATGTTAGTCATGTCGCGTCGTTGAGATTTATTTCCTCGAGTTTCGAAATAGAAAACTTTTAGTATAGTAATTCAAAAAGGACAAAAGGCAGTAACTAAAGACACGTATACTTTTCTTTTAATGTTTTTTTTGTTTTTTAAAAATTAAAAATAGGATTCGCCGTCCTTTCTGAGTACGGATTCCTCTGTTCACACCCCTACTGATGAATCTATCATAACTGATCATATGAAAAATGAGGAGGCTAAACTTATCAACGAAAGTGAAAGAGAAAATCTTAAAATTTTGAAGGAAAAGGTATGCCTGTAACCGCTCATAATAGGTTGCTCATAAAAACTTGTGAAACGTAGAAAATTTATTCGCTATATTTATAAGGGTGAATTGCAATATTATTCATGTGTTACCATTTCAGACCAACCAATAATGTAAAAAAATGAAAATTGGTCATTTATAGTTAAATCACAAGTAATCGTATCAAATATGTAAAATTGACTTATATATGGAATATCTAACAAATATTTAAAACTAATAAATAGGCAGTGGCTGATTATGACGCACTCGTTGATAAGCAAAGAGTTCAACGTCTGAAATTCTTATTAGAAAAATCATCGCTTTATGCACAATTCTTAGCCAATAAAATGGAACGGCAACAAGAAGAACAACGTGAGCGTACTCAAGCTGAAGAAGGAAGACGCGCTAACGCGAGAGAAAAAGAAGATAGAATACAAGCTGGCCCAACGCGTCGATCATCAAGGATTAGTGCGAAAATTGCAGATGCCGAATCTACAGAATCATCTGTTAAGCTGGCTACAAAAAAGAAAAGCAATGCTGGAAGGAAGAGAAAAGCTAATGACGCTAACTATAACTTATCAGATTATTTGGAAAATAAAGTAAATGTGGATTATTAAGTAATTGATTGACAATTGATTGACTCAACTATATTTCTGATGATCTATGTATATATATTATTTAATTAATCATTAGGAGCTCCCAAAGCGTCGTAAGAGTTCTGACTCTTTGACAGCTCCTGTAGACACTTCATCCCAAGCAGACTTGGTCGATACTGAAGATGACGGGCCCATAACAACCGTTAAAGACGACGATTCAAAACCAAAATCTGTCATATCTGCTCGTCAACCACGATTGGTTACTGGTGGTGTCCTTCGTGAATATCAGCTAACTGGTGTTGAATGGCTTGTTAGTTTGTATGATAATGGATTGAATGGGATCTTGGCCGATGAAATGGGCTTGGGCAAGGTATGTTCCACTATTATGTGTTTTTTTTTTTAATAAATAAGTACCATGCCATTTAACTTAAAATTTGATTGTCTACCAAAAGACACTGCAAACTATTGCTTTTTTGGCTTATTTATGGGAACGTAAAATTTATGGTCCATTCTTAATTGTCGCTCCACTTTCAACACTAGCAAATTGGATCAGTGAAATTCATAGGTATATCCGTGTTAAATTAAAAAAGAAATAAAAATTATAGGTTTTCACATATTTATGAAGTCACATTCTTTTATTTGGCTTACATATTCAGGTTTACACCAACAATACCTTGTGTGTTATACCATGGTACACCTGAACAAAGGGCACATATTAGAAGCAGGAAGCTAAAAAAGCTGGATCATACTTTTCCAATCGTGGTCACAAGCTATGAAATTGCGATGAATGATCGCAAGTACCTTCAGGTAGTTTTAAAAATCTAAAAAAAAATTGTTTAAAACGGTTCATATTAAATATAATCTTAATTTAGAAATTCGCCTGGAAGTATATTGTTGTCGATGAAGGACACAGAATCAAGAATTTAAATTGTAAACTTATCCGAGAACTTAAGACTTATCAATCTGCGAATCGTTTACTTCTAACGGGAACACCATTACAAGTATTTACTTTTTAAGTTCGTTCGCAAGTGCTTCTCACAAATGAACGGGTGCAGTTTATTTTATATCATACATTATATTAATATTATATTAATAATTAGAACAATCTCGCAGAGTTATGGAGCCTTTTAAATTTTCTTTTACCTGATATATTTGACGATTTAGATAGTTTTCAAGACTGGTAAGTCGGTAATCGTTATTTTTTACCCATTAGATAATTTTTGTATTTAATTACAACTATGTAATAGGTTTGACTTTTCTGCTCTTCATGAGCAAGATGGGGAAACTCAGATCCTGGCAAAAGAACAGTCAAACGAAGTCATAAGTAATTTGCACAAAATCCTAAAACCCTTCTTGTTACGACGTATAAAAAGTGATGGTAAGCATCGGGGGGTTTTTTTTATTTTTGAAACTTGACGAGTTTAAAATTCAATTAAATTAGGATTTATTTTCTAGTTGAATATGATCTACCTAAAAAGAAAGAATATCTGTTGTATGCTCCATTGACATTGCAACAGAAAGAATTATACGATGCTATTTTGAGCAGAAACATTCGTTCTTTTCTGCTAGCAAGAAAAATGGGAACAATACATGAACAGGATTCTACCGATATGGAAATTGATGGTAAAAAGATGGTGATAATTTAATTCAGTCAAATTATGGATTATATATTAACATGATATCATGTTATTCAGAATCAGAACAAAATAAGTCTAATCCTGAAGAAGTAAATGATTGTACAAATGAAGAACAGACCGAAGATCGTAAACAGTCATTACGTACTTTACCACGAAAGACATACAAAGAGATCACAGACCTTGAATTCTTTGATTCTTTGGAGATGGAAGAATCAGAACCTGAAGTGGATGAAGAGGAAGCATTGAAAAATTCCATTAAAACTGAGTTGGACATTAAGACTCGAAAAGCCGGTGACTAATATATTAAGATCTAACCTTAGTTACAGAATTATTACTTATTGTTATATTTTGTTATCATTATAATCAATATAAATAACAGTCAAATCGATTAATTCAATGAGACTTCAGAATGTGGTTATGCAATTACGTAAAATTTGTAACCATCCATACCTTTTCGATTGGCCTGTTGATAAGGAAACGGAGTTGCCGAAAGTCACCGAAGAATTGGCAGCAGCATCTGGAAAGATGATCTTGTTAGAATGTTTGCTTGAATCCTTATTTGAACGTGGTCATAAAGTGCTTATTTTTTCACAATTCACTACTATGCTTGATATAATTGATGATTGGGCTACTATGTTCAAGGGTTGGAAAGTATGTAGAATCGATGGTAAAATAGGCCAAGAAGATAGACGACAACAGGTATTTCATAATTTAATTTTAAGATATTTTGGGGATTTGGCATTTAATTATATTTTTGCGTTCGTTTTATTCATAATAGATTCACGACTTTAACACAAATCCAGAGATACGGCTTTTCATTTTGTCTACTCGTGCTGGTGGATTGGGTATGGTGTTAATAGTTGCAGAAAGTAAATCGCGAGTAGGAATGGGTTAATCATATAATTCAAATTTCTCATAAACTTTAAAACATCCGTTAGGTATTAATTTGACGGCAGCAGATACTGTTATAATTTATGATAGTGATTGGGTATATATATATATTTTTTTTTTATGCAATTGTTATTTCATTTTTATCTGCTCAATTTCCATTTTGATTTTAGAATCCGCAAATGGATCTACAAGCGCAAGATCGAGTTCACCGTATCGGTCAAACGAAACCTGTTATAATTTATCGGTTGGTTACTGCAAATACAGTCGAAGGTAAGATCTTGGAGAAGGCGACTGCCAAGCGAAAATTAGAAAAATTGGTGATTCACAAGGGCAAGTTCAAGTTGCCCGCATCACGTGACCTTCCAATAGCAAACTTGGCGGAATTGGCTGAAATATTAATGGCTGATGATAGTGAAAAGTTTCAATTGGCTCAGCATGGAGACGCTGTAATTCCAGAATCCGATTTAGTGCGATTGATGGATCGAAGTGATACTGCTTTCGAAAAAGTTGGTACTGCGGAGGCGCAAGAAGAAAAGGGTGTTATGTTCAAAGTAATTTCTGAAGTTAGAGACACAAACAATGATGCACTCGCACAAATCAGTAAAAGTGATGATTGAAATTTATAAGCTTAGCCGAGTGATACGGCTAAGCCGGCTTAGTCGGTTATTATCTCAAACATTAAATCTCAACAATAATAAGCTAGTCACGTTCGTATTTTACTTTACCAAATAAAAAACGTCGTTCGTTGTATAATGTTTCCGAAGTAAATAATAATAATAATAATAACGATAAACGTCGTTGCGTAACATTTTCCAAAGTAAAAAAAAAAGTTATTAACGTTAAATAAGATTTCAATTTATGTAACGGTTATATAATTACTCAAGATCGTCTAACTTGTTATGTAATTACTAGTAGACTACGTATAGTAATTAGGTCCGGTATAGAATTCTACTCCGGGTCATCCACCCGGTTATTTAACTTTTACGTACACCAGCTAACCCGAAGTAATCACATCCAATAAAATTTTGAGATCAATTCGTCTGATACCAGCTTATCAAATTTCTGACAAATTTTTGTTATAACAAATTTCTTAACTTTTATAAACTTTCTTTACTACCTAATGCACAATTAATAGTTTTTATACACATATACAAAACATTAAAAATATGGGAGCTTGTCGATAGAAAGGCATAGATTTTTTCTAAGTAAAAGTTTTTTAAATTAAAATATTTTAACTATTAAACTAAATTTAATGCTTTTTTTTTTTAATTCTATATAGTTATAAAATGAAAATAATAAAAAATTTATTAAATTTTGATACAGTAGTTATTAAGATATTTTAATCTAAAAACTTTTTATATCTTTTTTATTGATGAGCTTCTATATATAGAAATATATTAGGAAATCCTTTGAAGTTTTAATAAAAATGATAAAGCATTAAAAGTTACTTCTAGTTTAAAATAAAAAAATATATATGTATATAAAGTAGTATAAAATATAGAGTAAATTAGATTTTGACAAAAATATAAATTTGCTTTTGTAATCAGATAGGAGGATGGAAGCCTACTTGGAAGACCCAAGTAGAGAAGTAACCCGAACTTTCAATGGTATTACTGTAAAGACTAGACCTATGAAACGGAGCTAGAACTTGTGAAACCGGGCAAAGAGTTGGCCTTTGAGGAGGGGTTGAATGGAACCAATCAGGCTGTCAGAATTTCCAGGTTCTGAAGGAAAAGGCTACATGCTGGCAAACATGTAAACCAAAGGTATATGGTTATGACCTGGTTTTTCAGGCTATCTGGTTTGGAAGCTTGGTGGAACTTGAATTGAATACCAAAGTAATAGAGATATGTTGTGAAGTCAATACCAGGGTTGGGGTAAACTCTGCAAGAGTATAGTGGTTTAATGATACGTCCTAACTGCTAGTATTAGTCTTAGTCATAGTGATACCAGGTTAGCTATAAGAATGGGATACAGAAGATTCTGGAAGGTTTAGTACAAGGTCAAAGGTTCCCTATATGAGTGAACCATTTTAAAGACTTAGTAACCATGGCATATTTGAACTGGTATCGACCGGGGCATCTTGGTAGTTGTAGGTAGATGGATGGATATAGGAACAGAGTGGTTAAATAGAGAACCTACAAGCAGGTTCTAGGTATAGCAACTAGTGTAGAATCTTCGGGCGGACTACTTAAATTAGACAATAACTAAAGTTGTATGAGTGGCTAGTTGTACACTCTTTCCATAGTTGCCCCCTGTGGTTGTAATGCAACCATTAGCTAAATGTACTATTAATAAAATCCTGGGTCACAAGTACTTACCTTAATATTTAAAAAAAAAAAAAAATTTTGTTTTTGTAGATTTTTTAAGTTAATGTTAGAAAAAATTTAAAAATTAAAAAAAATTTTTAGAAAATCAATTTTTATATTATTATTTTTTTTTAATATTAAAATTTTTTTTTTTTTAAGTTAAAGTCTTTGCCTTTGAAAATCGATGATTTTATTCAAGTATTTGAACATGTATGCTCCCAAGAGCTTCTATATATAAGAGGTTACAACTAGTCACACATGTATTTTTGGTATCTAATTTAAGTAGTTTGCCTATATATTACTATACAGGTTCTATACTAGATGTCATATCTGTAAGCTAACTACAAGTCTTGCCTATTTAAACCCTCTACATATATAGTCTAACTTGTAATTACAGTAATATCTTTTGAGCTACACCTATTCAAAGTATCTGTTGCTTTCAAGATTCTTAGGATTAATTTATCATTAACAAAAAACTTACTAAAATCTTTTGTATTTCATGCATAGCTAATCTAGTTTTATATAACATATTATAGTTATCTAACATTTGCAATAATAGAAGTTATTTGTTTAACTGCTACATTACATTATTTTTATTTTTGTAAAGTTTACTAAAACTCTAGTATTTATCATTGCAGCATCTTTTTCATCATCTCTTATTAATCACTACTTAAAATTAACAAGACTTTTCTAACTTTCAATCCAAATAGCTTAGTATAATATACATATGTATCCTTTTTCTTTAGCAATTTTGGTAGTCTGGTTGGTTATATAATCCTCTACATATCTTGTCATCTGGTTTATTTATCTATCTCTTTGAGGATATTTTATAGGTTTTTATTAATCTGATTATATTATTAAAAGTTTATTCTATCTCTTTACTCAATAATTTTCAAATATGTTTTCAACTTTTTGATTCTTTATTTTATTGTACCTGGTGGTTTTAATATAGGTTTGTACTAAGATCTTATGTAACATTAGTTATTAATATTTCTCTATATATATATAATATTATATTTCATATAAATGCTCCAAGCTTTTATTCAAGATAATGTAACTTAAGGTTACAGATACACTAATCTAACTGATTGTTAAGAGACAATTTGCTATAACATGAATTAATTTCTAAATTTCATTATAAATAAAATTTGAACCTTAAATCTGCTACTTGAAAGATGACAACTCAATTACTACACTAAGATTATTATCTTCTTGATATTTTTTTTTTTTTTTTTTTTTATAAATGCCAAATCGTAACCTATATTTTATTAGCTTTTTGCATTACTATTACATATATGATTACATTACGTTTGTGCT